AACCACTGAGTCAAGAATGTTTATACTTAAATTTACAATTTAGATAATTCTGCACATTTTTAGATGAACCTGGAAGGCTGGAATACATCATGATGCTCAAATTAATATTTTTATGAGGAGATGCTTTATTTGATGTACCGTCCCTTATTTGCTGTCCACAGTCTCTACGTACATTGTACTACTTGCTCTAGCTGTACATAATGTCAGTACGGTAATTTAAATGATTAGGCACACACCGGACTAACCAAGTGAGCAGCAATCGGTTTCTTCTAATTGAAATCAAACGTGTTTTGGTCTTTAATTCAATAATCATTTACTTTACGGATTTGTTTATAATACATTTTTATTCAAAATGCATATGCCAACAAAAAAGTATTTAAGAAAAAAGGCTAACAAATCATGCTTAATGGGTCCAATTGTGATCGAAAGTCACAGCTTTCTGGAATATTGACAGAACCGTTAAATCCACGTGGGCGGTGTATTAAGTTTACTGTTTTCAGACTTTTTACAAAATATTCTACTATTGAAAAAAACAGTGCAAAAATACAATACCTTTGATTTAACAATAAACCTTCTATCCTTAACAGTCCTTTCAGAAAGACAATATTTCAGGTTTGCAGTTGTAAATACTAAAACATTTATAAGAGAACATTGCACAACAATGCTTATATGCCAGACTGTCCTATTTATCATAGTAAATTCAAAATGTTGTTTAAAATAACCAAAACAACTGTTTGTGTGATATTCAACAAAACATTTTCTATTGCTCTGTTACCATTTAAGGGCGGCCAGAATAAAGGAAATAAAAAGCCTGAAACTGATGTGAGTGAATCTACAGAGTATAATAAAAAATGTATTTAAACTGTATAAAAGAGTATACAAATAATGGTTGATAATAATGAATTTAAGAAACCCGAATCTCTCTGGCACACCCTCCGCCTTTCGTCCGCCTCATATGACGGGTTAATCCTTTTCCTTTCGATTCCTCATGACTACTAACTCCCTGTTTCGGTTTTAGCCTTGCAAACCTTATTTTCCGCTCTTTCCTGTGTCAAGCCTCATGGCCTGAATAGGCTTGAGTTTTAAAAAGAGAGTTTAACGGCGGCTGGAATTTTGCGCAACTTGAAAGCATTCCAGACGTTGAAAGCATTCCACGTGTTAAAAGCCTTCCAGGCGTTGAAAGCGTTCCACGCATAGAAGATTGAAGGATGTAATTTTTTAACAGACAGACTCTGAATACACTATACACGAGGCGACTTATCATCCGCCCCACTTTCTGTCCGACCTATAGCTGTATACAAAAGAGCTAATAAGCTGTCATTCTATAGGCCAGATTACTTGCAATCTAAGCTTAGCTCCGGGTCTGTATGGGGACTGAAGGGGTTACATCACTAGAACTATCCAATCTGAGCTTAGCTCTGGGCCTCTATTAGAACTGAATGGGTTACATCAATGCACTTATCCTTATTCTGAGCTATTGAGCTCACACTAGTTACAGTACATTTTGGACCGGCATTTCTTTGCTTTCATAACCAAATCATTTAGTAGGCACATAAAAGAGTAAATTTAAGACCAAAGACCAAAATTAACACTAAGAATATTAGAATTTAGAAGTCTTATGTCGTCAATAATGTCTCATTGTTTGTGGGCTACCCTGTAAAATATATTTTTATACATTTAGTTGCATTCCTACAGCCTAGGAGCAGAGCTCTGCTAGAAAGCTCTCTATTTGCAGTGAACGCTGAGAAAGGTAGCTGCACATATAGAGGGAGGAAAGGCCATACGGCCCTGAACCCCGTGCTCAATTAGCTAGCCTCCTTCTGAACTAAAGTACCCACGGCCGGGGTACTAAGTCAAGAAAAAGGAATATAAAGACTTAATATGTCTAATACTAATCCTACAACAAAATTACCTCTGAGCGGGTCACTTGAAGGAATAGCATCCCTCCTATTAAATGAAAGTAAAATTGTGTGGTTCAAAGCAGGGAAGCTATTGCTCCCTCGCTGCAAATAAAAACTAACTTGAAGTGCAAGAACAGAATGTGCAGAGCTGAGACTGCAATTACAATTAAGCAAAACATACAAAAAACAGAGAGGGTACAATGAAAGGGTGATCGTGCGCTGTCTTCTAATGGCGCAAAGACAGCGACTCGTAAACATTCTTTCAAAAGCAGGGCTAAAAATTGATGGGCAAAGGGAAGCAAGAAAAAAGAGAATCTGCAGACGTTCAGATGGAGAAAGGTGAAATAAGATAAACTTTTGAAAATATTAACTGTGCCTTGTACCATTTTATTTTATAACAATTATAAAAAACTTGTAAAAAACTAATTTGAAATACATTTCGATCACTGTTAAAAAATACAGAATGTCCCAGAAAAAAACTGTGCAGTAGGGGTATTAGTTACTGAGGAAACAATTTTTGTTAAATTTTTACAATCAAGGTGTCATTACAGGGGACATTAGTTTCAAAACTAACACTCGGCCCATTTCTAACACTAAGTGTAAGTGTCTAACACTAAGTGTTAGAAATAAAGTCGATAATTAAAACTATAATTAACATTTTCTTAAACAAGACGAGGACATCAGTTTTCAATTTAAAACTTTTTTAAAAATCAAAATTATAAAAGGAGATCTTTTTATATTAAATCTCTTGACCGTTTTCAAGACAACGTCAGGTTTTCCATTTTCGAACATATCCTGAATTTGAACCAAATTCGAGACATAATCAAATCCCGTTTTTGAGTATAATCCACAATTCAAAACAAAACTCACTTTCATAACTTACATAATAAATCACTGAAAACAAAAATTATCTTATGAAGACTAAATTAACTTCTGAATTATTTTTAGAATCTAATTTTCCACATTTTATTCGTTAAGTTAGAGAATATGGATGATTTATTTTCAAGCATTTTAAACAAACAATTTCCCGCATTTTTAGTTAAATTTATGATGTATAAATTATATTAATATTTTGATTTCTCAATGCTGTAATGATTTTTAAATTATAAAAGTTTGTTTTTATTTCCTATTTAGTTTATATTTTACCTTATCAAAAAATCTTGTTTTGTTACGTAAGTGCGTAAATTTACATTGATATGAAATCCGGTAACTGTTTCAAAATAGGGATATGTTCGAAAATGAAATCAAGAATTATCAAAAACATAGTTCTCACAGCTTATTATTAGTTTACAATTGACATTTATTGTTTTAATATACAGTTTTAGCCATTTTTTTTTAATATATGGTGTTCTATTTGTCTTGGATTTAAAGATGTATATACTCTTGAAAAAGATAACTTTGCAGATTTGACCCATTTCTAACACTCAGTGTTAGTAATGGGCCAAGTGTTAGTTTTAGAACTAATATCCCCTGGATTAGAAATCTCAATATTTCAGTTATTTCATATACTCATATATTTATACATTATATAAGTGCGCTCTTATGAAAACCGAGAGATCGTCTTCAAAATATCAATCAAAAAAGGTATTGCGCAACTAAAATATTTTCAAAATATAGTCTCTGATCTGTTTTGCATTACTGAAAAAATAAACATTTTTTATGATTTCTAATCTAACCGAAACTAAGTGGTTTTTAATTAGAGAATATATCGCCGCCTTTTGAATTTAAATAAATTCTTGTTTTGACAATTTTGCTTCATTTTATAATTTAAAAGCTGAACGAAGCTCTTTACGCAGGGATATCCAACAAAACATTATATAATAGTAAAAAATGTTTGGAATTTAAAAATGATTTTTTAAAAAAAGAAAACCATAAATATCCGTGCAAACTATACAATGATAACTGTATTTTGTTCTTTTAAATCTGATGACAACGTATCAATTTTACATTAAAAATTCCGTGTTTAGTGATCACACTATTTTCATATGTACTAAATCTAGACACTACATAGTCGTAATTTAAATTTGTGCATTCCTGATTAACAACGGTACCCTTAAAACTGTAATCTGATCAATAATGTTGAAGAGGATGACGTATTTCTGGCTTCAATAAGCGCTTATTACTGATGAATTCTTAACTGTTTCTGAAGAAAACATCACGCAATTCAGTTTTGCAATGAAACAACAAATGCAAATAAAATGCTTTTAAAAATAAAAACATGGTCTGCGCCGGATTACAATCCTGCGAATTCGTTTCTCTTAGTACAGCAATTTTTGATACATAAGCTTCATCTAAAATTGTCAGGCATATTCCCTTTTGAACTTTAAAACGCGCCTGGTACGAGTGAGCGCAAAATGAATCGAGAGCTCGTGAAGGAGCGGTGGACGAGCAGAGCGCGGCACCAAGTCTTCATCGGAGCCTGTAAGGCCTTTAAGCCTTCACTTCCATTTGATTCGGCGTAGTATTAGTAACCTTAAAATGTTTATTATATTTCAGATAAAAATGAGAATGAGAACTGTTCGATTGGAGAACTCTCATACGGAATTGTACAAATTCTATCTAATGAAAAATTTGTCGGAGCAAGTTTTTAAGGGAACGGTTGGAAATCTGAAGTGCGTATGTCATTGGAGAGTCACTTGAAGTTACAGTCCCTTTAATTGTATTTTTAAGTCTTTAAAAGCTGTTTAAACACACTTCATCGTGAATTTCATAATGAACGTGTTAGAACGTAATCATCGTGCTATAATGTTAAACTAGCTGTACATTAAGCATGTGCATGCTATACAAGTTTTGATTGGTTCACGGATTTTTCCCAAAAAATAGGATATTTCCAAAATAATTTTTTTGAAATGAAATACCATTGACTTCTGCTTTGTTTCAAAGCTTATTTGATCTATAGAAATAGCCATTGAAATAAGACAAGTACACAAACGTTTCAAAAAATTACCTATAACATTTTGGCACGACGTGCTATAAAGTTTTTGGACTTCAATTTTCTCTATATCTTAAAGGTTCTCGATAAAGGGAAAATTTCTGTCCTAAAACTTTATAACACTGAGAACCAAAATAACAGTGAATTATAAGTAGTTAATAATCTAATGCGTGGGTAAATAAATTTATTTGTTGAAAGTTAATTAAATAATTTTATTTTATTTCTTTGTGTTGAGCTGGGAGAGTAAAGCTGGATAAAGCAAACATCACTCCACTGTAGGTAAACCAACCATTCATCTTGATTTTATACTTGCTACAGTAATAGCCAGAAAACACTGGAATAAGAAAACGACATTGTAGCAATACTTAATTTGATTTTGTTACAAAGCAAATAGTTTTACAAGACACTTTTTAATTCATTAATTTAGAAATATTGGTCTGTTTACAATACGTAATGGCTGTGTTCAATGCTCATTGTACTTTTTATAGTTATAACTTGATTCTAAAAGACGACTTTCTAGTTTAGAGTTTTCTGGATATCACTGTATATAGTAGACCTCTGTAACTAACAAAAACAGTTCATTAAAACTTTCCTGGTCCGGATTTATAAACAAAGTTTATATTTTAAATCTGAAAACTTAAAGCAAATGTTTTATCTCTTTTGCCAGAATATTCTAAGACAGGAGTAATGATCAACCAATCTGAGAAATATGCACAATAGGACCTATAATATTTTAAACATGAAGACGACATTTACGCAAGCTATGTGTATTTGATGTTCTGTCCAAAACTGTGGAGAATGCACGAGTTTTAGTTTATAGCTTTTAAAGGTTAAAAATAATTATTTAAAGTGGGATGAATTCCAGAGAATCATGTTTGATTGATTGAAAAATATGAGAGACTGCGAGGGTTCCAAGGGTTAAGTATATCACTCGTCGATTTCGGTGATCGAGTTAATTATTTAAACTAATTAAAGTTTAGATTTAGATTAAGTCACAATCGTGCATCTATGGGTCAAAACTGAACTTTTTTATTTCTGGACTCAGTATTGGCCTGAAAATAAACTGATTATGTGAAATGGGTCTGTTTCCATTGCACAATTAAAGTGTTCATTGGACTATTAAAATTCAACTACGTTGGCACCTTCTTATTCCACAGTTTTATGAGTCCCACTGTACTGGTTTTATTCGCTATAGTTACACAACTACTTTGATTGCTTTTACAGAGATTACAGGAGATTGTGAAATTTACAAGACAAAGAAATGTAAAATTGGACATTCAACAAAATTTCTAAATTCTGAAAGACCAGAATTTCAAAGATTCCATTCGATCGCCTCGGATGCGGCGTTTATCTCATTCATCTTAATCAGAATGTCCCTCACAACACTACAATGAAGGCCCCTCTTAGAAACAGTTTTGTAGATGAATTGACAGACGTAAAAGTAATCTTTCTAATTCATTGTTTTTTTTTAGCGAATGAGTTACTGACAAAGAATAATACTTTAATAACAACCTAAAACGATTTAAAGGTATGTTTTTAGACTAGAATAGTCTAGAGAGGGTCTATTTAATAGTTTAGTAAAGGAATTAAGACTTGAAAAGTTGTAAAGCTGGAGGAGCTTTGAAAGTAAGAAATCAGACTTAATTAATACTCTGAAGACTGATCTTTTATAGGAAACCCTGTAGTTTAAACCTTCTGACGTGTTCGTGATGTTTTATAGGAAACCCTGTAGTTTAAACCTTCTGATGTGTTCGTGATGTTTATAGGAAACCCTGTAGTTTAAACCTTCTGACGTGTTCGTGATGTTTTCCACAAAATCTGAAAATGTCAGAAAAGATTTTCCTGATATTTAAAAGTTTTCAATAATTGGAAGATGAATAATTAGGTTTCCTGAGACCAACTAGACCAGGCCAAAACATATATAATGCAGGTTTCAGCTCAATCCATTCTAATATTAGATTTCATAATCAAAAAGTTTTTGAGTCTTTGTCGAAAACCCAAATATTCGAATCCCTATATCTTTGCAACATGAATATGTAAACCTTAGATACTTAGATTTTTTGACAACGACTCAATAACTTTCATAAAATGATTAAAAGATTGAAAGTTTTAAGTTATCTGAGGCCGAATTTTAAGAATTTGAGCGTTGTATTCAATGTTTCAAGATTTAAGCCGGCGGTAAATTGAAACCGGTTTTTGGGAAAGAGACGCGGCTCAAATTCGGACTCAGATTTCTTTTACAACTTTTTGTACAACTACGATTGAAAAATTCGTAATTTTGGTTTGATTTTCCTAGATCCAATTCTCCAATTATAAAGAAATGGAAAAAATGAACCAAAAATTTCTGTTTTTTCTTTTACGATAAAAATTTATTCTTATGCTGGCGGTTTTCTCTTTTTTTAAGGGTTTTATTTTTTTTCTGAATCATTTTATTCTCTAGTAGTCGTCTTTACCTGCTACAACTTCAATGAGAATAGGTATATTTCCACCAAGATTATTCATGATGAACAAGAACGTGGAAACTGTGATAGATCTGAAACATTTCTCAAGTTGCTATAAAAAGTTGTATCGATTTACCAGCTTGGTTTGACTTTAAGTTTCGCCAACAACACAACACCTTGGCGAGTGTCTGAATACGTTTTATTTTAAGAACAAGTTTGTTTTTAGGTTTTTAAAGTAATTGGAAAAACTCTCATAGGATCCAGCGTGAAAAATTGCAACAGTCGAATCCCTGTTATTTTCTAAATATTCCCGGCTGCTGGATCTTTGAAACAACTTCGCACTGTTCTTTATTTCTCGTCAAACAACTTATTCGATCACCTTTAAAAACATTAAGTGACTGTATACATAATCTTAGAGGGAGAGACCGGCTATGTAACATTGTTGAATTGAGAATGCAGTAATATGAAAAAAAAATCATTAGAATTCATTAGATACCAATGAGACATTTTTGTGGTGTGCTTTTTTAAATAAGGGAGTAAAGCGTTTGCAGTATATTACCTGATGTTTCAACCAGCAGAAGAAACGTTTTTTACAATTCTTGAACTAAGTTCAGCTATGTTACATAGCCGGTCTCTCCCTTTAAGTGACCCCAATTCACAACAGTACCATTAAAGTTTTTGTCGGAGCTTCAAGAAGAAGGATTGCGTCGGTTTTTTTACTTTGAAAAGTAATGAATTATGTAAATTTCGATGATATTGACCTGACATTGTCTGGAACTATCTCTAGAATATATAAATATATTGACCTGACATTGTCTGGAACTATATCTGTTGAATATATAAATATATTGACCTGACATTGTCTGGAACTATCTCTAGAATATATAAATATATTGACCTGACATTGTCTGGAACTATATCTGTTGAATATATAAATATATTGACCTGACATTGTCTGGAACTATANTAATTTTATAATTTTATAATTTTATAATTTTATAATTTTATAATTTTATAATTTTATAATTTTATAATTTTGTAATTTTATAGTTTTATACTTTTATAATTCAAAAACAATCATTTTTTGTAAAATTGATAAAGAGAGTCATATCTAATATTATACAGAATACCGTCAGTTTCCTATTATTCACCGTTTCCTGCAAACTTAAATGACTTAATTAAATGACATCAAATGATGGTTATTATAACGTTAGAACTGACGGGGGTCAACCCAGACCGAAATATATTTTCAATAAATGTGGAACTAACATCTCCTTTTTTTACTCTACAGAGGTTTGGTCCATTCAGCATAATTCATGGAAGGTTACCCTGTATTTCCATAGTAGTTTAGAACTTTAGATAAAATAAAATGTGTGAATAGGGTTGCTGTGTAAAAAATAAAAAGAAAAGAAACTTATAAGTTTAAAATTTGAGTATGAGTTGTCTTATTTTTTGCGCAAAACTTTGAATTTTCATTGTGAGGATTTTCTATACGTGCAGGACATTTGATTGACATTATTTTTGGTTAGTTCTCATTTCATTTCATCAGATGTGAACTTGCCTGATTCCCATTCTTTTCACGAGAATATCTGAAAATATTCCTCCGAAAACAACCCCACACCCTCCTCCAACAATAGAGCAGATCATGAACCAGTAACCTTAACAGAACAGAGATTCCTAAACGTCGTCTTTAAAATCGAACAATTTTCAGGTACAACGTGAATAATTTTATAATAAAACTCTGGAACAGGAAGACGACTGTAAAACTCAGGTTCTGGAAGACAGAAAACTTGATTTAATCTTTAAAACGTCATACTGAAGGTAACCCGGAATCTGATGACAAGATGTGTTGTGTATCAATAAAGATTGCACCAGGGGAATGATAGTTCTCTACCTGTGTGCTCAGTTAGTTGTACTGTTTACTAATATTGATATTCTGTAGGTTAGGCCAGAATCAACTTATAATAAACAAATATGCAGTACGCTCGCGGTATAGTTGATGGCCTATACAGTTAGTAAAGAATTAGCGTACTTAATAAATCTGTACAATAAACTTTTTGGGTTGCACAAATTATAACGTTTTTAGACTACACCATAATGCAAAGCTTTTAATACAGGGTTACCCACAAATGATGGGACTTCTGAGAAGATTCTACATAATTTATACTGCCTGTCTCCTTATTTTTATGATTTTCTGCAACTGTTAGTTTTTTTGCTTCATGAATAAGAAAAAATTATATTTATGGCATAGGACTTAACTTAACCTCGGAATCATCAAAAGGTTTCATGTTGTCTTTACAGGCGCATTCTTTGTGGGTAACCCTGTAGAATTGATACTTATTTTGTTATTTGATATAGCTAGCTCAGATCAAAGACGACTTTAAAGTCATGTTAGTGTCATGTATAGAGCAAGGGCGCTCCAATGTTGGTAAATGTCGTCTTTCTTTGAAGCTAAAAATTGCCATTCTAATACAAGTTATCAATTTTTGAATTAAAATTTTAGGGAGCCGCAAATGTATTATTCTTTTTATTCTCATATGAGGATTTAGAGTGTCCACTATACATTGCTATAAAGGTCGTCTTTACCTACATTGGAGCAAGGATTTAATGCAAGGAAAGTTATTTCAGAAGTGTACACATCTTTTGCACTGCAGTGTACTGTCTCTGGGCGGTAATGTAAACACAACGTAAGACGGATGTCGAAGCCTGACATGGGATCCATATTTCACATACAAAAATCAATGAAATACTCCGGTCATAGGAAACTATTATGTGAATTATCAAAATTATCAAAACTTAATGCTTTTAACCACCTCGGATACTAAACGAACACTGATACATCTATTATTATTTACAAATTCCGCCCAGAGAGAACTGGTTTCAATATATATATGCAGAGTATACGCAACTGAAATTGACTTTCCTTGCATTACATCCTTGCATTGGAGCGCATCCAGAATATCTAACCTTACAACCTTGGAGTTGGTTAAGAGGGAAACTGTGTATCTCACCCAAATAGATTATCAAGTACAATAGGTGGCAACAGAGAAATCAACCTATTATACACTACGTCACAAGTGTCAAATATAACAAGGAAAACGAAATTTTCTCAAATTAGTTGACATGTTTCCCAAGATGAAATGTAAAAACAGAAACTAAAGAACACATTAAATTGCACTTATTTTACTGTTAGCAAAGCACTTTATTGTAAAATTATCCCTATTATTGATGATTTTGTCGGACACAAAACCTGAATTGACACTTGTGACGACAGAATACAACTGTACTGTGAGTGTACAAATTCTACGTTGCCATCTATTGTACTAGAATCTATTTGATCTCACCTATTTCTTTTCCCTCATGATATGTATTAAAATAATTAAAGTTGTTATTCGCCCAACTGTACCCAGCAGTATGTCTGACAGCAGCTAAAATTAAAAAAGTAGAATATTTCGCTAAACTCAAAATGAGATGCGTTAAAGGGAGTGTTTGCGAAAAATGAAAAGGGGTATAGGCTTACGTCGAAAAATATTCTATGGTGATTTCTGCTAATCTTACTTTTATTTATTGCAATAAGGAGAAAATTGATATAAAGAATTAATACCGAATATTCGATCGTATATAGTTGATATTTCATTAATAATTTTTATTTATTATGATCCGAGAGTTACTTTTGAAACAATCATTCCTGTTTTGAGGATTTTTGATAATGAAGACGACATTTTCATATCTTCCAGGAATGTTCCAGTTGTAAGCGAAATATTAATTTTAAAAACCAAAATCAAAAATTTTATGAAATATTGTTGTATAATATCTGAATGTTTTGTTTGGAATTAAATGGATGTTTTTTACGACCCAAGTTGAATATTGCAATTTTCCGAATTTGTATGGACGCTACATTCTTCGGTATGAGTCTTTTTCAACATCCATTTAATTCCAAACAAATCATTTAGATATTATACAACCTATAATCATCGATTTTTTTCGACGCATTCGAATAACGTAACGACTAACGATAAAAAGTTTTAAAATACGATCTTTTTCAAAATCGATCCTTTCTAAAAACGACCGTTTCGTATTTTCTTCGTCGTTTTTAAAACGAAACGATCGTTTTAAAAAAAAAAAGTGAAAACGATCCATCCCTACCTGAGAGCAGCAAACAAATCATGGCTGGTTGCCAGAATCCTTTCTTGATAGAAATCAGATAATTTCGCAGAGAAAACTTAGGACCAGATTCCTCCTTAAAAAATTCACGTTTTTTATGAAATATATGATACTAGCCTTAGAGGGCGCTTCGCGCCCATCTTCTAAATTAATTGTGAACATGTTCTCTTTGTGTACATCGTAAAACAAAACAAAAATGATTCGCGGATTTTCACAAAAAATTTCGTGGATTTTCAAAATTTTAAAAAATTTAATGAAGATCGAATTTTGATGGAGACAAATATTTAAAATTTCAATCATTCATAAACCTTCCCTGGGGTCCCTAGACGTCCCACAAAAAATTTGGGCCCGATCGGTTCAGCCGTTTTGACGTTTATTGGATACAAACAGACAAACAGACAGACAAGCCAAATTTATATATGATAAGTATCATTATACGGTTCATGACAATTCTTAAAAAACATCTTTTCTGTTCCATTCACAGGATCTCAATAATGTTCTTCATCTATGTATAAATTTGGCTTGTCTGTCTGGGTGTTTGTTTGTTTGTTTGTATCCAAAAAACGTCAAAACGGCTGAACCGATCGGGTCCAAATTTTTTGTGGGACATCACGTGACCACCGGGAAGGTTTATGAAAGATAAACATTTTAGAAAAATGTGTTTTAAAGTTTTTTAATTTTGTAAAAAAAAAATTTAAATTCTTGAAAATCCGCGAATTTTTTTTTAAAATCCTCAAAATTTGTTTCTTCTTTGTTTTAAAATGTAAACAAAAAGAACATGTTTACAAAATAAATAGAAGATGGGCGCGAAGCACGCTAAAAGCCTAGTATGATTATATTCTTTATATTATTGTAAGCTATAAAAGGCTCAACAGAATAAAGTTTCAAATGAACATCCATGCAAACATGGCAATGCCCGATTCACAACGGTACTAATTTTCTCATCAATAATGCGGAAGATAATGTCGATGTTCTAGGGTTAAAGGTGTTAAATTCTAATAATTCCTTTATGTCTACTATGAAGAGATATATTTTGATATTTGTTTGGTTAACCCTATTCCCGCTGTAGTTTTTTCTACATAACTCAAAAAGTATTGGTCTGAGGCTGTTGAAATTTTCTGACTTTTCTTACATACCCAAAACATGGCGCCTCAGCACCCCTTCCCTCCTCCCGCTTGGTCTTAAATTACGATGTTAGCTAAGAATCTTCAAACCAAGCTTTACAAATTCCCGTGGTTCTCCCGATTTCCGATTTCCCCAAACAAAATTTGAGCCAAATCAATTACGGGATTCTTAAGTTATGATCGGATACACAAACAGAACAAAAAACAGACAAACAGAGATTGCTACTTTATACAGTGATCACCAGAAAACTCTAGAATATGAAGTCGACGTTTAGTCTCAAGTTTTGACTTTAAAAAGTCCAATGACTCTGATGCATAGCAATTGTACAGTGAAAACAAACCCATTTCACTTAATAAGTGATTTAATACCTTGCTAGTAAAGCTATTTGCTTTTCAAGAACTTAAAATGCAGTTCAGAATTGATTTTATGTCGTCTTCTTATTCTACAGTTTTCATGGTTATCACTGTTTATTTATAGATTCTGCATCTAAAATCATGCTTACCAGGGCGCTTTTATTCTCAACAGAAGCTTGATCATTCTTTACTTTGTATCTTGGATCCTAAATTGTTTATTTTTATAACAAAATTTAAATATTATTTATCTTTATTTATACAAGAAAGAAACACAAAAAACCTCAGTATTTGAAACCTGTTGACTTCTGAGAATTTATAAGTTTAAAAGACAAAATTCTCAACTCGAAAAACTAATTTGAACCATCAGCAGTGGGATTTTGACGTCAAACTCTGATAGAAAATAATTATTAAAACCCGAATCTAAAGAAACAAAGTTTAGAACCCTAATATTGTAGGTTTACTAAAAAGTACAAGTTCAACCCAAGAGCAAAGGTCTATAGAAAAACTTGAAAGTCTACTCGGTCTCAATGGTTGGTGGATGCATTATAAACTGTGTAGAAAGTAAATATGTATGGTCGCTTTAAGGTTTAACATCTATAAAGACGTAAATCTATACGCTGACAGAGATTAAAACTTTTAAGTTGTTAATCCCTGGATTAAATAATTTTGAGGGATAACCAAAATTTATGGGTTCAAAAAATTATTTCTCAAATTTAAAAGTTACGCAGTGGATATTGAGATTTCAAGAAATTTGACCCCAAGAAATTCGTTAATTAAACCCACCCCAACCCCCGCATTATACTCAAATATACTTGTCTTTTTTATTTACAATTTATTTTTTAACGCATCATAATCTAAGTTTGTTTCCCTTTTTTCACTTGAAAATCAATTGTTTTTCTTATCAGTTTTCTGTTTAATTTCTAGTGATTTTCTTGTGAGGTTTGGAGCATCTTTAACGCTGAATTTTAAATTTAATGAAATTGATTGATCAAAGATATATAGTAACTACATAGATTGAGTCATTGCCACAAAGTTTAATTTTAATTCCATTATCTCTACAATTAACCCAATGTTGTTGACCCGAGTTCAAACTTTGAATTCTGATGGATCAAATAATCTAAGTTTGAAATATCAAAGGTTTACGCCATCTGGTTTTAGAGATATAGGTATTAGACAATTGGGATTTGTGGCAAAGACTCAATTCCTTTCTTAATTTTAAATTTTTGGTAAAATAAGACCTGATTAAGTTCGTGGACTGATTATACCTTGATAAAGATGAGAAGAGCAGCAATAATTAAACCAGGTGCTCCAGCCATAACATACGCACTTCTCCATCCGTATCCAAGTATATCAGCCTTTTAAAGGGACTGTACAAGTAATTTAAAGTGTCCCTCCATTCAAAGATGGCAACGTCGTTACCTTTAAAAGCTTTGTCTGATCAAGTATGAATTAGTTATCAATATTTATAATCTTAAGAACTAATTGTTTTCAACTCTGGTTTCTCTACAGACATGATATGCGTGTTTTTATTGCAGGAAAACATAGATAGGCATTAAGCCTAGGCAAACTTCATTATCTTCCATAGTATTGATCAGAAAAAGGTTTCAACGGTACCAGTGAGAATCGGGAATGTCGTCTTTGCATAAAAGGTCACTTGAAATTACGCTTATAGTTACTTTAAACAAACAAAGGTACTGATTACTAGCTTTACATTTAAATTTTCAAATTCCAATATTTTCCATGATGGTGGGAGTGAGAATCTTAGATATTTCACAGATTATATTTATCTACTGCAAAATTCATAGTTTGAAAGACATCAGGTTGCAAAGATATCAAGAATACCAAATTAAAGGTGGAGGCTAGAGACCAGTTTCTTTATTAAACAATTTTGTAAGTTTTGTCCTAAAAAGATTCTAAAATTATGTCTTAGAGTTTATAAAATAGGGAGATTTATTGTTCAAGTTATTATGTTTCTTTAAGTTATTAGATTAGGTCCGAATTTTTTAACTTTGAAGAAAAAACTAAAAAAATGTTATTCACCTTTTCTTCCTTTGAATTTTTAAAACCTACATTTAAGACATTTTACAAATTTATTTTTGAATTTTTTTTTAAAATCATTATAAAGTTTATGTTATTAAGATTAAAATATTTAAGAAAATTGTTTAGAATTGTTTTATAAAAAAAATTACTTGTGTAATATATATTCCAAATATAAAAGCTAGACCATATCCGTAGTAAACACCCCAGGAAAAAACACCATTCGCCTGAAATAGAAACAATAAATAAAATGCAACGGTCTTTTATAAAAATTAGTAAAATTAAATATTAATATGAAATTGTCAAATTTTTGCATAAAAATTTGTATAAAACAGAGAGTATAGGACTTGTGGTATATGAGTGTCAATCTAGAGAAATTTCGTACTTCTTTGTAAAAATACTGAAAAGGTAGGCCACAATTTGGAAATCCCAGAAAATAAGTAATACACACCTTAGCTCTGTTTTCTGGACCGAAAAACTCCGCAATAAGGGATCCACTGGCAGGCCTGCATGCTCCCTCTCCTAGAGCTATTCCCATTCTAAAGTAAAAACATTTTTTACTAGCCACCCTGTATAGACTTATAAATTATCAATGTGAAACATCACAAAGTTGGTTAATGAGTAATTTTAATATTAATCTTAAATAGAGCTGAAAAAATGGTTTGAGTTGTGCTTTTTTGCGTAACGCGGCTGGATTTTTTAAAATCACACTTTAAAGGCCCTAAATCTACCATTTAAAAAAGTAGTTTTGCCCGGAAGAGTCAAATGTGGTGGTACGGAAGGGGAAATAGTGGTGGCTCATGGCTGCCGGAAGAGAAAAAAGCTAATATGTGGCACGGAAGGGGAAATAGTGGTGGCTCATGGCTGCCTGCCTTCCCCCGCTCGTAGTACATTTGAATTTCCGAGCCTGGTCAACCTTTGATTTTTTAAACTTAGACTATTTGATCTGGCAGAATTTATTGTTTGAAATATCAAACGTCTGAGGCATTAGGTAAAGAAATTGAAAATAGAAAATTAGAGTATGTGGTTCTTTTTGAAGAGCTATAAAGGTTTTGTTTTTGAATTTAAAGGGAATAATCCCTGTTTACCTGAGAACAACAAGCTGCCAATAACTTTGACTGAAACCCATCAGCATACAGCAAACAGAGAATACTGAAACAAACATGAAAAACATTAAACCCATCAGCATACAGCAAACAGAGAATACTGAAACAAACATGAAAAACATTAAACCCATCAGCATACAGCAAACAGAGTATACTTAAACAAACATGAAAAACATTAAACACATCGAAATCGATTTTGATTTGCATGTTTAGCTTTGTAATTTTATTAGAAAAAAAATCTAAATACTGATATGTTTTAATTTTATATTTTAGCATCAAAATGAATGCACTTGCGTTGCAGCACTGTGTAGGAAATCGTCATTGAACTATTCTCAGATTTCCAATTGCCTTAGTTCACGACGGTAAACTAGAGACGATTGCCTTAGTTCACGACGGTAAACTAGAGACAATTGCCTGAGTTCACGACGGTAAGCTAGAGACGGGGTTTGAAAGAAAGATCAAAATAAAAATACAAATATTCTGATATGGACAAGATTCACTTCAGGTAGTGAGTTGTATGGACACTTTTAAAAAGTGTCCGATTCAAGCCATTTTTATATTTTTTTTTTTGATTTACGGCTTAAAAAGAAAACTTTTTTTTGTGGGGACTTAATCGTAAAAAAACATTCACACGGCAGAATTTTGACTTGTCAAAAAAAAGTCTTTTATAACATTGTTTTGATATCTGACACCAAATCAACTCTGGGTACTTTTGGATTAGATTGTAAAAATAACTTGTACCTGTGATGGCAGCAGATAAAATGAGAGGTCTGCTGAAGTTGTCTGCTAAAAATCCCATGATGAGAGCAGAAAATGTGAATGTAACTATAAATGCTGGTCCCGCCAAAACCTGTAGAAAAAGAAACAAAAAATGAGAGGAATTGAGTATATTGCCACAAACTTAAATGTTCTAATGCCTATATCTTTGCAACATAATGGTGCAGATCTTCTATATCTAAAACTCAGATTAGTCGATCTAACAAAATTAAAAGTTTGAAATATCTAAGGTTTTCGATATTGGGTTGCAAAAATATAGGGAATAGAAAATCCCAGTTTGTGGCAAAAACTCAATTTCTTTTAGAAACAATTAATGTTGAAAACTAATTATTTAATGGAAAGTTCAGCTTGGCCCTTTATTAAAAGAGTGTCATAAATGATTCACAACGTGTTTATTCTACAACACAAACACATAACAAACGACATTAAAGAAATGTAGAGTATATTTGATGTTGTTAGAAAGCAAATAGGTTTAGGTTGGAAATCTAGTTTATATTTGATGTTGTTAGAAAGCAAATAGGTTTAGGTTGGAAATCTAGTTTATATTTGATGTTGTTAGAAAGCAAATAGGTTTAGGTTTGAAATCTAGTGTATATTTGATGTTGTCAGAAAGCAAATAGGTTTTGATTGGAAATCTAGTTTATATTTGATGTTGTTAGAAAGAAAATAAGGTTTAGGTTGGAAATTTAGTTTATATTTGATGTTGTTAGAAAGAAAATAGGTTTAGATTGGAAATCTAGTGTATATTTGATGTTGTTAGAAGGCAAATAGGTTTAGATTGGAAATCAACCTTTAAAGTGAAATAGGTTTAGATTGGAAATCAATTTATTAAGTAAAATAGGTTTAGATTGGAAATCAACTTATTAAGTGAAATAGGTTTAGATTGGAAATCAACTTATTAAGTAAAATAGGTTTAGATTGGAAATCAACTTATTAAGTGAAATTAGATTGGAAATCAACTTATCAAGTGAAATAGGTTTAGATTGGAAATCAACTTATCAAGTGAAATAGCTTTAGATTGGAAATCAACTTATTAAGTGAAATAGGCTTAGATTGGAAATCAACTTATTAAGTAAAATAGGTTTAGATTGGAAATCAACTTATTAATGAAATAGGTTTAGATTAGAAGTCAACTTATTAAGAGAAATCAACGTATCAAGTGAAATTGGCTTCTTTACATTGCACAATTGCTATGATTCACATGTTTATTGAACTATTTAAAACAGTCGTCTTTCTTTTCCACGTTTATTTGGGTCTTACTGTAGAAAAACGAAGATATGATTAGTTGTATGTCAGGGTACAGTTGCATGACAAAAAAGGTCAAGAACAAACTCTGAAAAATCTGTTTTCCTATTTTAAATGTTGGACCTGATATTCCAGACCAGTCCCTAAGTAGTCCCATGTACAGTTTGATGTACATGTATCTGCTGTCTTAAACTCTTCACAGTCAAACTGAACAAAAAGTTATGCACAGTGTACTGCACACATATTGTATATCACACAAAGTAAATCCATATCATAAATGGTTCTCAATATCAGTATTTTAAAAGCTTGCTCGAAAAATCTAAGCATTTTTATGCTTAGCAGTAAGATTCAGAATTTACGCAGAAAATGTAGGATTATCATTATTTTTTTATTTTTTTACAACAAGATTACCTCTTTATCTCCTCTACATCCCAGATCCCCATAGTGAATATCTTTTGCAACTTCAGGACTTGTGGTCGCTAAAATATTTTATATAATGGTTTAAGGCCCACCCCGAACTAACCAGTGCAAAATACATTTGGTTTCTTCTATATGAGTTTAAAACGCATTTGCCGCAAAAAAGTAAAAAAAAGAGAGAAGTTGTGTTTTATAGGTCAAATTGGGATCGAAAGTTACAGTTCTCTGGAATAAGGACCGTTTATTCCGCGTGGGCCTTGTGGTAGCTAACAGTTCTTTAAAACTTTAGGACTTGTGGACGCTAAAAAAATGTCGCAGCCTTTGATATTATGAATAATGAATACATTTGGATCAAATAGTCTAATTTTGAAATATCAAAGGTTTACATTACAAAGTAGCAAATATACAGGATTCAAACATTTAAATTAGTGGCGAAAACTCAGTTTCTTTCTGCGACATTACTAATATACATTATAATATACATTACTAATATACATTATAATATACATTACTAATATACATTATAATATACATTACTAATATACATTGCTAATATACATTACTAACATACTAATAATGTGACCTATTTTGAAGTTGTCACCCTGTCTAACATTCTATGGAAAAACTTTAATACATTAATTTTTAAATATTGAAATAAAAAACACAGTAAAAATATATCAAACTCACCTATAAGAAAATGTGCGAGTTCTCCAATTATATATCCTAGAGTTAGAAGAGCTAAAGAGTAGATATTTAACCACTTGGAGTCTGCCATTTTTTCCTCGCACCACCTCTACCTTCACATTATTTTATTATTAATATTCAAATAAATAATAAAGCAAATCACACTGTGAACTATTTTAAGAAATTTTGTGGTTTAAGAACCACGTGACTGTATTTCCAGGGTGTTTAAAAACAATGACACCTTGGAGCAAAAAAAAGGGTTAAATCAAAACTTAAATTAATCCATGGGTTAAACTCTCTCATTTTCAGAAGTTTTTTAAGTCTAGGTAATATTTCTGATCGATGGATAGAATATGGAGGTTTAAAAATTGTTACATAGATTTGAAGTTTCGAATATTTCAAAATTAGAAAGAATGAAGAGACGAGTTTTTAGCTTTGAATATTAAAATAGGTTTTTAATAAAAATGGAAATAGAGAAAAATCATGATTTGACATAATTATTTCGGCTCAAATTCGGAATAATGACCAAAATGAATACAAAAATTAATATTTTTTTTTCAAATTTAATATAACTTTGGCTTTTTAATAAACACTAGTGTACCACCATATATATGTATTCAAATATCACAATAGTGTAACCGAATATAATAAACACTAGTGTACCACCATATATATGTATTGAAATATTACAATATTTTTAACCGAATATAATAAACACTAGTGTACCATCACAATATGTCTAACCGAATTACTTAAATATCACAGATTCAATACAATGTACAATGAATTTATAAAATGGCCAAATATTAACTATTAACTGTTAACACTAAATAACTGAACAAAATTTCGGAGTATAAAGTTAATCAGCTGACCTAGTCGAGAACACTGAGATTTAATAAAATATGAATAAAGATATATTCATGTATTTTAATATATATTATATATTCTATTAATATTCAACACATCACTTTATTTTCTTACAGTTCTATAGGGTCCACAATGATCAGAAATTAAACGAAAATATAATTAGATACGCAAAATTTATATTTATGTACTTTATGCAGATTTTCGAACTTAATCAGAACTGTACATTGCTCTGCACATTGTAAAGTGTACTATAAAACCTGTACATCACACTACACTACACATTGTACAGTTTAAATAACACCTGTTCATTACACTAAAAATTTTACAGTGTAAATAAAATTGTACAGTTTAAATAAAACCAGAACATTACACTACACATTGTAGAGTGTAAATAACACTGTACATTACACTATTCATTGTACAGTGTACACTAACACCTGTACATTACATTACACATTGTACAGTGTAAATAACACCTGTACATTACACTACAAATTGTACAGTGTAAATAAAACATGTACATTACACTACACACTGTAGAGCGTACACTAACACCTGTACATTACACTACACATTGTACAGTGTAAATAACACCTGTACATTACACTACACATTGTACAGTGTAAATAAAACATTTACATTACACTATACACACTGTAGAGCGTACTATAAAACATGTACATTACACTACACATTGTAGAGTGTACACTAACACCTGTACATTACACCACACATTGCACACATTGTACAGCGTAAATAACACCTGTACATTACACTACACATTGTACTGCATGAGTAAACAAGTGGCAGTACACTACACATTGACAGTATAAAATACAAATATGACAGTACACTACACAAATTGTACAATGTACAATACAAAGTGACAGTACAATACTCATTGTACAATATACAATGAAACTGTAAAGTAGCGTTCAAAATGTATATTACTATACAGTAACAGTCAGCCTCGAATGATATACTGATGCTGATTTAAAATTTAGCTTATGCATCCTTACATTCTTATCTTGCTTTAATGTTATGACACTTCCATGCTACAACAATTAACACGAATAATAATTAAAATTTGACGATTTGAACATCTTCTATAAAAATTAAGATTTAAAAATAAAATTACTTTTAGCTGTACATGTACGACGTACGCAATTACAAATGTTTCTTAAGAATCGTAAGCATAGTTCCACAGTGTATACCACAGTATACAGTACACACATCTTGACTCCTATTGATAAATAAATATAAAAAACGTCATGATCTGACCTAGAGTAATAAAAGTTTCTTATGAGGAACATAGAGCGTACTCTTTTGTCTCAAGTATCCCCGAAATATCTCAAAAATGAAACATAGCAATAATGTGGTGGACACACAGACCCGTTTCATTTAATAATTGGATTTTCAGGCAACAGGCAAAACTATTTGCTTTTTAACACCATTAAATACACAGAAGATTGCTTAAATGTCGTTTTCTTATTCTAGAGTTTTATGGGTATCAATGTTTTTACTTCTTTTTTCTTGGAGCAAATTCTGGAGAGCTGAAAATCAACATATTTGATTTTGATTTTTTCATTTGATTTCAGAATATTCAAGATTGCACAATACAATAATATTGCAGAGAATTTACGAATTATTGAAACTTTTACGCAAGTACAGAGTCTTGCACATCATATTAGATTCAGCATAGCTCTTCAGATCAACATTTTTATAATACAATATCAAAAACCTTTTACGTTGATATACCGTGTTCCCCACAAAAAGTGATACTTCTTAGACGACTGTACGGAATTTGCCTAGTCTCTTTTTTAACTTTCAGGGTCCCTTATTTCTGTGTTTAATCATTTAGTCAACCATTAAAATACTAATTTAATGGTAGACACAAAAAATCATGCTTCAAGTCATAATATTTTAAAAGTTTTGGGTCGTCTTTACAGTCTCATCCTTTGTGGGTATCCCTGTATCTACATATGTAATAGAATTTCAACGATCGAACATACGTTTTTTTTTTCCTCGGAAACTGACTCCTATATTTTCAAACTCTAGTTTTCTAGATTTTTTTTGAGATTTGTTGGATATTATTTTTTTTTAAAATGTAAATATTGCAAGAAAAACAAAAGCTGTACGAAGTATATTTTTTAATGTTATGATAAAGCGTGTTCATGGAAATCTAAGCTGCATAAAGAAACGAAAGCTGAAACTTTTACGCATTTTACGCATCTTACGCATTTTATGCTAACATGTTTTTTAGAATTAGTCAAGGTTATCGAACATACGTTTTTTTTCCTCGGAAACTGACTACTATATTTTCAAACTCTAGTTTTCTAGATTTTTTTGAGATTTGTTGGATATTATTTTTTTTTAAATGTAAATATTGCAAGAAAAACAAAAGCTGTACGAAGTATATTTTTTAATGTTATGATAACGCGTGTTCTAAGCTGCGTAAAAAAAACGAAAGCTGTAAATATTCCGTGCGCTGAATTTTACGCATTTTACGCTACCTTGTTTTTTAGAATTAGTCAAGGTTAAAAATATTATGTAATAAATAATATAAAGTGTATTTTATAAGTTTCAAGAATGATAAGAATTAATATTTATCAATAATAAAGGTTAAATTATAAGTATACATAATACATATCCATAAAAATCAAAAGTCTAGTTTTGAAAACTAAACAAAAAAGGGCGGTTCTATAATAAAGTAATATTGGACAGCTTAGAAACTAAAAGTCACAGCAAACTAACCAAGGGAGGAGAAGGAGTTATGATAAATGAAAAATATAACATAAGATTTTAATCTTTTGGGAAATTTACATTAGTTTGACGTGATAAAATAATAATAATAATACTATTGGTTTTTAGAGTACTCTTGACAGTTAATTAAAAAGGTTTGAGCTCAAGGAAAGTTTCTAAGTAAATTATAGATATGAAATCCTACACTTTTCATTACGATAAAAATCTACAATGTTAAGCAATACAATGATGTAAATAAAATTAAAAAGTTTTTTGTTTACAAGTTTTTTTTGAGTTTACAAGTATTCAAAGAGAAGCTTTTTTAATCGACAGCTTCTTTTTGTTTCCATGTTTATGTGAAATATCCATTCTGTTTTAAAGCTTGATATTAATCGAATTAAAAATATTAAAAATATTAAAAATATTAAAATGTAAATGCATAATGCAGATAATGTCCTGAATTTAGGTTTCTGATTAGCGAGCCACATGGAACCAATTCTTACCCATTAAATAAAGAGTCTTTTTCTATTCAACATTTAAAAGTTTTTAATTTTTTAATATTTTGACATTTGATATTCTAAACTTTAAGTTCTTTTAAATAAAAAGTTAAAGTTTGAATTATTGAAGGTTTACACCACCAGGTTGCATAGATAATGAGATTATGAAAGTTTAAGTTTAGCAATCAGTTCCTTTTTTGCGACAATACTAGAACGACACTGTGATCACGTACTTTTCTGGTTTTCGTTTTCCGCAAGTATGAAAAAAACAAATTCATTTGGTGACATATTTTAATTCAAGCATTTGTTTTATCTAAATATCTCTAAATATCTCCAAATCTCTCCTAATATCTCATAATATCTCATAATATCTCATAATATCTCATTGTAAAAAGGAGATATGATTGAAAACACGTAAAATTTCAATACAAAGTCAAAATTCAAAAATATATATACTTTGTAGAAAAAACTCCTTAACCGCTTATTCAACCGCTCCCGCTGAGTTTTTATCATTCGTAAAAATTAATGTAATTTGACGTGCCTTCGTTGTAGTTAGTTTGACGTGATGTCCTGTTCGGTATCAATTTGTTGTATTTTCAGAGTTCCTTAAAATTGAAGAAAAACTTGGATAGGTATTAGGTAGAAAATCAAGGCGTTGCGATACTTCCAAGTCGACCCAAATCCATGCATAATTTTCTAAGCTGTATTGATGCGTAGTGAACGGATAATTAACGTAATAATGTTAACTAAATATTCAGTAAACAAACGCTCAAAATGAAAAAGTAAGCGTCATATCCCTCCCTAGAAAAGAAATTACTACCTGTAATCTGCGTCACAAGCTGACCTTCGCTCTTATGACCTGTATGACAGGCAGGTGCACACCTCAAATATTCTAATTGTCAGCTGTACAAAAAAATCAATCTTTTTTCTTTTTTTCTCTTTGTAAAGTTGTGTTAATTTTGTTTATTAGTCTTTTCGCTCATATATATCTATTTGTTATAGCTGGCCAAACAGCTGAATGTTTTTTAGGAAACCCATAGATACATTGGGGGTAACATAAGCATGATTTTTTTGTTCAAAAGTCTAAATTCCACGGGCAACTCCGGGCACTTCATTAATTAATAAGAGATGAATAATAATAGACCTAAAGCACGAAGTCACAAATCTTCTTAGATAGATAATATAAATTACAGTTAAAAGTTTGATTTAGCCAGGACCTCTCTAACCATTGCTGGTTGTTTTGAATAAGAGGCTAAATACTTACATACTTATCTTTACAATCTCATGTTGTAGACTAGACATTATACAAATTGTAAATTTAGATCGAACAACAAAAGTTTGACATTGCAATGGTTTTCAAAAACAAGTGAATTCCAAAAACGACAGTTTTTAATAAATTTCGTCGTTTCATTAACGATTGTTAATGAAGGGTTTTAGTTCGTTAACGATCGTTTTCAAAAACGATTAACAACCCTCACTATATCCAAGAAAGAGTAGTTTAAGAAGAAAATCAAAAGTGTGTCTATTGGTCGGGATTTTGGATTTCACGTTCTAAAGTTTTTAGCTCAGTTTATATTATCCGAAGAGATCTTACATTATTATCAAGCCAAGAATGCTAAACTTGTTCTCTGTGTGATCGGCCTATATTTAAAACTAGTGTCTGCAATTTTTACAAAATCTGTCGAAGCTAAAACACGCTGAAGGTCAAAATTTCAGTTTTTGCAATACGATTCACTTGAATTAGCTAACTATAAATGACGTAAATTAAGTTTATTTTATGTTTTTGGTCGAAGTATATTTTTCTTGCATTTATAATGTTTTCATTTTGGGTTTATTAATTGTGTATTCTGTGTTTATTTATTGTGTATTCTGTGTTTATCTATTGTGTATTGTGTTTCCCTGATGTGCATTCTCTGTTTATTTAGTGTGTGTTCTGTGTTTATTTAGTGTGTGTTCTGTGTTTATTTAGTGTGTATTCTGTGTTTATCTATTGTGTATTCTGTGTTTATCTATTGTGTATTCTGCGCTTATCTATTGTGTATTCTGTGTTTATCTAGTGTGTATTCTGTGCTTATCTATTGTTTTTTCTGTGTTTATCTATTGTGTATTCTGTGTTTATCTATTGTGTATTCTGTGTTTATCCCTGATGTGCATTCTCTGTTTATTTAGTGTGTGTTCTGTGTTTATTTATTGTGTATTCTGTGTTTATCTATTGTGTATTCTGTGTTTATCTATTGTGTATTCTGTGCTTATCTATTGTGTATTCTGTGTTTATGTTCTGCATGTTTATTTAATGTGTATTCTGTATTTATTCTGTATTAATACATTGTGTCTATTTTATGTGTTTATTTACTGTGTATTCTGTATTTATTCTGTATTACTATATTGTGTCTATTTTATGTGTTGATTTACTGTGTATTCTGTATTTATTCTGTATTAATGTATTAGGTCGGCTTTGTTGGTGAAAATTTATTTGCTTGAAAAATATCGACCAAAGCTTGAGTCCAAAGCTAGCGTGTTTTTATATTCAGTTTTCATATATTGTGTTCTACTTACTTTACTAAAAATCAAGGAAGTCAAACTAATTAATATGAAGGTTAAAATATATCTTTATCTTAATCCATCATCATCAGACTAAAATGTCAAGCAAATTTGAGACCACACTCCAGTGCATGCAAGATATTTTCCCAATGTCAGACATCTAAAATCCGGTTCGAATACTACACTCTACACTCTACACTCTACACTCTACACTCTACACTCTACACTCTACACTCTACACTCTACACTCTACACTCTACACTCTACACTCTAGACGTAAAGTGTTCCTTTAGCCTCTAAAGTTACAACTATTTGACAGGTTCTAATAAACCTCTGTAAGGTTCCATGAAACATTGCCTGGGCTAAATGTTTGTCCTCAAAGTAGAAAGTTCTGGTTTTGGGCAGTCACAGAATACGTTTAGTTCCCTACAATAGGTTTTATTTCCAAGGTATCTCCAACACCCCCCCCCCCCCTCAGGACACAGGATCAGGTTCACATGAACTTTATACACGGTATATATATTTATACAACCATTGTGGCATTATCACATTTTTATCCGACCTTTAAGTAAATTCTCTTACAAATATTTATACCCTCCTGCACTCCTTTTTCATTTTAAAAACAGGTTTAGAATATTTATAAATCTTTGTTATAAATTAGTATATTTTAGAAAAGATGACAATTTGACAATTTGTTCATGTACAGAGCTACCCAAAAAGGTTGAGACTGTAAAGACGGCTTTAAACTGTTTAAATATCACGATCCCAAGATTAAGTAAAGTCTTGGATATAATTTGTTTAAGGCTTAGTTGATGAATAGGTAATGAAAGAAACAAGTTTATACTTGCAGGAAATCATAAATTCAAGGAAACAGGCACTATTAATTTCGTACAGTCGTCACTGAAGTCTCATCTTTTGCGGGTAACCCTGTATGAAGTTATAACTTTAAAATAAAAACGTGTTTAAAAGACATCTCGTTATACATACAGCTGCATGAATTAACAATTTTGTCATTGAGACAGAACATGGATGGGTATAAACGTTAATCAAAATCGTCTTTAATCTTCGCAGTACTAGTCGGTAAATCTGTAATCGTCAATCTATATAGTTTAAAAATCATAATTATTGGAAATGAGGAACATAGTCTTTATAACTGATAAATGTATTAAATATCTTTATCACAAAGTTGAAATATTTAACCCAAAATTTCATGAATTTTCAACATAATTTTTAATTTCTTGATACAGTTCTCTTTTCAAGTTCTCAAGGATTTTTTCATGGTAGAGGATGTCAGTAAATATTAGGACCTCCTGAAAGATAAAAATAGTAAAAATTGACAATGTAGACAATTTTTTCTTTCAATCCCATTTATTTAAATATTTTCAGGGTATAATGCGACTTCCTTTAGCCTTGCGGTCATTTAAAGAGTGATTAGAAGAATTAGCTCGCAACTTCAAGGTATTTCTTACTAACAGAACTTTTTTACTTGACAAGTGTTAATTTCATAACACTTCAGAGAAACCTTTAAAGGAGGAGTGAAAATAGTATAGAGGAGTGAAGAGAAGTGAGAGGAGTGAAGAAGAGTGTATAGGAGTGTAGAGAAGTGTAGAGGAGTGAGAGGAGTGTACAGGAGTGTACAGGAGTGTAGAAGAGTATAGAGGAGTGTAAATGAGTGTAGAGAAGTGTATAGGAGTGTAGAGAAGTGTAGAGAAGTGTAGGAGTGTATAGGAGTGTAGAGAAGTGTATAGGAGTGTATAGGAGTGTATAGGAGTGTAGAGGAGTGTAGAAGAGTGTAGAGGACTGTAAATGAGTGTAGAGGAGTGTAGAGGAGTGAAGAGGAGTGTAGAGAAGTGGAGAGAAGTGGAGAGAAGTGTATAGGAGTGTATAGGAGTAAAGAGGAGTGAGAGGAGTGTAGAAGAGTGTAGAGAAGTGTAAATGAGTGTAGAGGAGTGTAGAGAAGTGTATAGGAGTGTATAGGAGTGTAGAGGAGTGTAGAATAGTGTAGAGGAGTGTAAATGAGTGTAGAGGAGTGTAGGGAAGGGGTAGTAAAGAGAAGTGTAGAGAAGTGCAGAGAAGTGAAGAGGAGTGTAGAGAAGAGTATGGAAGTGCAGAGGAGTGTAGGGAATGGGGAGTATAGAAATATTCCTGTAGAAAGGAATTTATCGGAAATGAGGAATGAGGAGTGTATGTGGAATTGTATAATATATATAAAAGGGGGCGTATACTGCCTGTGATACCGGCGAGTTAAGCTGTAGCGCTTCTCCCCGCCCATCCCTCTCCCATCCCCTCCTTCCTCCTCAGTCGAAGAGAAACAAGACTAGAGACGAGGTGTAGTGTGTCGTGACCTACTAAAAAATCTATTTATTAACTTTCATCAGCTCAGGGATGGACACAGAGGTAGATTTCGCTGCCCGATGTCTGGTTGCAATGTCTCAGGCCTACCAGAGCACCTGGACAACATCTGACCCTGCTCCGCTAGATCTTAGTCTCAGGACAGAGTCACCTCCGGGATCCAACCCGTCCTTGTTCATGATAGCCAGGATATTAACTGATTTAACCCGTGTGAGACAGGAGGCAGTACCTCGACCTACCTCTCCTCCTACCCCCTCCCCTAGACCAGCCTGTAGAACCCTAAAATCTCATAAATGTACTCACCCAGGTTGTGAAAAGGTGTATGGCAAGTCATCTCACCTAAAGGCACATTTACGAACCCACACAGGTAATTCGAGCCTTATTCTTTCTCATATATCATAGGCCTGTGTACTTTCATTTCTAAATCAAAGAAAATTGCACTTTTTGTATGGAGAACAGACGTGTACTACTGTACCGTTATCGCCATACAGCAAATTAATCTTATGTATAATGTACACGCACTTGTGTACTTCAATCTCATAATATATGAACCTTTGACTTTTGTATACCTTTTGATAGATACAAAAGGGGAGGAGGGGGGTCCAAATAAACATGTATGAATCAAGCAATGAGGAGTGGGGGGGGTCCAAATAAACATAATTGAATCAAGTAACGACTGGGAAAGGGGGGGGGGAGGTACAAATAAACATATATGAATCAAGTAACGACTGTCATTTCTTCTTGGGTCAAAGTGTCAAATATAACAAGGAAAGCGAAATTTTCTCACATTCGTTGACATGTTTTCCAAGATTAAATAAAAAAGTGTAAAAACAGAAACTAAAGAACACATAAAATTGCACTTATTTTATTGTAAGAAAGCACTTTTTTCTAAAATTATCACTATTATTGATGATTTTGTCGGACACAAAAACTGAATTGACACTTGTGACGACTGAATACAGCTGTACTGAGAGTGTACCAATTCTACGTTGCCATCTATTGTACTAGAATCTATTTGAGGTTGTTCATTTGTATGTCTAATTAGCTTTCTAGAATGCAGGGTTTTCATTTTCAATTGTTAAAGTGTATTGTGTGTTTTACTAAAAATGCCACGTATAGCAAGGAATTTTAAATTGTTATGCGAGCTTGGAAACCCAGCTTTTTTATTATAATATAAAAATGAAAATTTGAGGCAAATCGGAAAAGGGGTTCTCGAGTTATGACCGAACATCCAAACAAACAAACTGAGATTATTATTTTATATACAGTGATAACCAGAAAACAATGGAATAGGAAGACGACATTATAGCAATACTTAAGTGTATTTGATGGTGTTACAAGATAGATAGTTTTACCAGACACTTATAAAATTACTTTTTTGTGAAAGGGGTCTGTTTACACTGCACAATTGCTGTTTTTCATGGTTATTGAACTTTTAAAAGTTAAAACTAGATTTTCAAAGTCGTCTTACTGTTCCAGAGTTTTTTGGTCATCACTGTATAACCGTGGTAAATACATAGCAATGTTATCTTTAAGTCAAGTGCTACCCATAAAACTGGCAGAAGGAGACGATATTTTAGCAATCTGATATTTTCTGATCTTTGTTATTAAAGTTTTATCAGGAAATTGAACATACAAGTATTATGTGTACAAAATAGTGACTAGTACAGTAGATGGCAACTTAGAATTTGTAAACTCTCAGTACAGTTATATTCTGACGTCAGAAGTGTCAACTCAGCTTTTGTGTCCAAAAAAATTATTAATAATAATGATAATTTTTAATCATAGAGAATAGAATATATAGAGAGGAATTAAAAGAATCTCTCGGTATGAATTTTTTCAGTCCCTTTCAGCCTGAAAGGGAGTTAAAAGTGTACAAATCATGTAAATGTTCACAAATTATATGCAGTAGAGTACATTAATACAGTATGTTCCCTAGACTATCCATTTAAATTTCGAATTTTTTAAACTGTTAAACAAACTTTATAATGAATTAGGTGAATAAAAACATCATTTGATTTATAGTTATAACGGAAAATCATCGTTTGTAAAGTGGAAGGCATAGAGTCTATGTGAAATGATCATTGGTCAATTATGAAACCAGCCTAATTCATAATTTGGTTTTCTTTTAACAATAATTTTAGATTTTCTATAAAATGATATTCCAGGGCCCAACAGGTTATATAGCATAAATATGTGAAGTACACCTGCAGTATGGAAACAGTACAACAAAATGGCCGTTTTACATTTTTTTCTAGTAAATTCCTCTCTATATATTCTATTCTCTATGTTTTTAATAAAGAGCTTATCATACAATAAAATAAATGCAATTTGCTGTGTTCTTTAGTTTATTTTTTTACACTTTTTATTTAATCTTGGAAAACGTGTCAACTAAAGTGAGAAAATATCGTTTCCTTGTTATATTTGACACTTGTGACGTCGTGTATGATCGGCTCATTTCTCTGTAACCACTTATTGTACTTGCTAACCTATTTGATTTGTACACTTTACACTACATTAATGATGTGTGTTTTTTTCATTGATTTATTCATAATCATAATTTGAACTCAACAACCGTCCTCCTATTCCAGAGTTTTATGGGTGAGCTTTGTAAACATTCACATTTGCTATTTAATTCAATTTTATATTGCTATTTCAAAATTTAATTTAAACTTTTTTGGCGGATATTTCTGCATAAAAATTAAAAACAACATATAATTATTCTACACAAATACAATTTCTAGAAAATTTGTGTGTCAGAAAACGAATTCCTTCCTTTTTATAAAAGGTTTGTATAAACAGTAAAACGGTTTATCAAATTAGTGTTGTATATACATTTGTAAACACAATTATGTTATTAATCAAGTATTGTGCGGTATATAACCTTTAAACTCGCATTAGGATAAATTCGATAGTTTGTTTCCATAAAGTTTTGGCGCTTTAAACCTTCTTAAAAAAAGTTTTAAATCGGAATTCCCAAAAATTTAAATCTAGGAGCATGCAGTTCATGAACAGCAATGCTCTAAGAGGATACAGTTTATGAAGAGCAATGCTCTAGGAGCATGCAGTTCATGAAGAGCAATGCTCTAGGAGCATGCAGTTCACTTTTTCTTTTTTCTGTGCAGCCATAAACTTTGAATTCGCGATATATCGCTATTTCTTTATCCAAATTGATGCAACGAGGATGAGTGGATCTGATGCTATCAGACAGCTATGTAAAGTTGCATCAATTATTAAGACTGGGTCGACTTTATATTGTCGCAACGCCTTGGCCATCGACTTTTCCTCACTAATTCATATATTCTTTTTTTGTAGCCCAAGACATTTAAATTTTTAGAACTGAAAAGCACTTTCTAAGATTTATTTTTTAACAATTAATCGAGGGAAAAGAAAATATAACTGGAAACATATTGACAAGGAATTAGGGCTTTGTCACAAACTGAAATTTTCTAATCCCTATATCTTTTCAACCTGATGGACTGTAAACCTTTTATATTTTAAATTTATTTAGTTTGATCTAACAGAATTAACTGTTTGAAATATCTAAGGTGTACAACATCATGGGTTGCAAGGATATACGGATTAGAAAATCAGGGTTTGTGACAAAGACTCTCAATCCTTTGTATAAAGACGTACGGTTCCAAGTAATTATAAACCTGGATACAGGAAGGAAATTATAGATTATTGATACGAAGTTGAGAAACATAAAGGGACTGTCATTGTGATTTCAAGTGACCTTTTATTTAAAGGAGACATGTCCGATTTACAACTTACCCTTCAAACCTTTATATGATCAGTATTGTGGAAAATATCGTCGTTTTTTAGCTTGAAAGGTGTTTATTCGTAAAAATGAATCAGAAAAGGCAAGTCACTTTATCAAGAAACTTCAATTGAAAATAATCAATTTTAAAAGAGAAGAGGATGGATATTTCATAAATTCTTGATCAGACAGACCCTTTAAAGGTACTGTTAAGTTGTGAATCGGATATATGAAGGGAGAGTCACATAAGATTATGTTTACAGTTCCTTTAATGAGGTAACAGGAGAAGATTATGTTTACAGTTCCTTTAATGAGGTAACAGGAGAAGATTATGTTTACAGTTCCTTTAATGAGGTAACAGGAGAATATAATGTTTACAGTTCCTATAATGAGGTAACAGGAGAAGATTATGTTTATAGTAACAGGAGAAGAAGCTCATAAATTCAGGGAAAGTTGGTCAACATGCTTCCTTAGGGATCAATGTTTGGAAGGATCCATAAAAAATTGATTGTGAATGGATGCAAGGGATTAGATGGAGTTTGGGATTATTGTCAGAGTTCAAGAAAATTAGGGATTTTAGAAATTGATTTTAAGGAACCCGGGATTGCAAAAGAAGTTGTTTGGAGTTGAAGGATTCCAAGGATGACAAAAAAAACTGTTGCTAAAGGATGGACAGGGTTTATTATTTTAAATATTTACTTTTCAGTTTGTGCAGAATCATCGAATAATAAACTTTTCACAGAGTACTGCACCCTTTTAGAATTATCATGAAGTCCCCCCCTCCCCCCACGGGGGGGGAGGTACAAATAAACATATATGAATCAAATCTACATTTAGTGGAAATATCATTGGTAAAATCATCATTTCATAGGGCATCTTTACTAAACTTAAATTCATGGTGATGCTCTTAGTATAAAATTTCAGATTTTAGATGTTTTTGATCATGGCGTTGAAATGTAAAAAAAACATTTGAAAAAATATCTAAAAATCTTGTTTCCAACTTCCTCAAATCCACAACAAGGTTGGGTTGGGTCTAAAACAAACATTTCCCTCTTGTCTGCACGTTCAATACACAGCTTCCTGTCTCGTAGTAATGAGTCAACCAGTTAATATAAAGGGGGGGGAGAGATATAGAGAAGAAAATTGCAGAAATGGGAGGATAAAAGAAAAAAAATATTTGGGGCAGAAAAGAAAGGTAGAAATCAGAGGAGAAAAGGACATAATAGGGGACGAGGAAAAGAGAAATCTATAAAATGGATGAAAAGATATTTAGAAAAGAAAGTTGTAGGAATAGGGAGAAAGGGGAGAAAAAATAGATATAGAGGAGATAGAGGCCTCTTGAATCTTGACCCGATAATTGGGACATGAGTAATTAAGTAAGTAAGTAAGTAAGTAAGTAAGTAAGTAAGAAAGTAAGTGAGTAAGTAAGTAAGTAAGTAAGTAAGTAAGTAAGTAAGAAAGTAAGTGAGTAAGTAAGTAAGTAAGTAAGTAAGTAAGTAAGTAAGTAAGTAAGTAAGTAAGTAAGTAAGTAAGTAAGTAAGGAAGTAAGGAAGTAAGGAAGTAAGGAAGTAAGTAAGTCAGTAAGTATAAGTAAGTAAGCAAGCAAGCAAGTAAGTAAGTAAGCAAGCAAGCAAGCAAGCACGTAAGTAAGTAAGTAAGTAAGTAAGTAACTAAGTAAGTAAGTAAGTAAGTAAGTAAGTAGGAGTTATCTGGGTAAGGGATTAGGAGTAAGTGCAAAAAAAATTGAGTCATTGGTAAAAAGGAAACTGAGAAAATGTCTAAAAGAAGGAGAGAATGTAGAAGGGGTAAAAATTGAGAGATAAAAGGGAGAAATGGCAATTATGATGAGAAAGAGGTTTAAAGAGAAAATATTAAAATATGAAAAGGATTGAAGAAAGAACAATGGAGAGGAAAAACGGGTATAAAATAGTAAGAAAACAGTGTTTAAAGTATTGGGTATTGAAGGAAGGTATAATGTAGGGAAGCGGGAGGTTAAGGTTAGGGTGGGTGTGGCAATACAGGTGCTAGGTTGGAGGAACATGGGAGGGGCACTTAACAGTATGAGATTCTGAACTTTGTAAGGGGGAGGGCAGGGCAAATGATGGTTTGTGGAAAGGCGTGGACTGGAATTTAGATCGGAAAAAGATATGTCGAATACATTAATAGATGAAGATTTTTCGACAAAATGAAGAACTAGGATAAATAGCTTGTAAGGAAGGATGGATAACTAGGAAGGATGGATTACTAGGAAGGATGGATATCTAGAAAGGATGGATATCAAGGAAGGATGGATAACTAGGAAGGATGGATTAGTAGGAAGGAAGCACAGCGAACTAGGAAGGATGATAACCCACGAGAAAAGAGAAGTAAATATTGTCTGTATTGTCAGGTTAAAAGAGAAACTCTAATCTATAGTTAAATTTAGGTAGTTGAGAAAACGGGCATATGGGGTTTCATGGTTTATAATAGCATTGGTGTAGGAGAAAATTAGAGATAGATAGATAGAAAGAAAGATAGGAAGAAGGATAGATAGATAGCAAGGTGAAGGGTAAGTAGGGTGGGGGGGGTGTATGGTGTATATAAACCTGTAGCCCTGTAGAGGAGAGAGAGAGAGTAGAGCTACGCCCAAACAGGAACTAGGACCCGCCCCTTTATTTTCTCTTACTACAAAATATCTTCAGGTTTCAGTCGGAACAGAAAACATTGATACTTTTATGAAATAAAAAAGTTATTCTTATGTTTTTTGATGTAAATGATCGTAAGACGTGAAAATGATTTTACAACAAAATATATCACCTGGTTGCTTTTTTCCAACCTGACTAAAAATCTAAAAATAAAAATAAAAATTTTTCATAAAAAATGTGGGCTTTCAGAGAGACAAAACAACTTTCAAATAATTAAAACTCTGCTCAGGTAAAAATACAATATTTCTTTTATCGAGTAGCTTATTTAGTAAAAATATCAAAAAAGTTTATATGGAGTTATAGCTTATTCGGTAAAAATACCATATTTCTTTATATCGATTAGCTTATTTAGTAAAAATATCAAAAACGTTTATATATCGAGTTATTCGGTTTGTTTGGCCATTAAACACTTTTAACCTTAAGTTTGGAGAATAATGTGAATCTTTCTTTGCATGAATAAATGAAAGGAATTGAGTTTTAATCCCAAACTCAATCTGTCTAATCCCTATATCTTTACAATCTGATGATATAAACCTTTTTTATTTCAAACTTAGATTATTTGGTCTAACAGAATTCATATTTTGAAATATTAAAGGTCTACGACATTGGGTAGCAAAGATAAAGAGATTAGAAAAGTAGAGATTGTGACAAAAACTAAGTTTTTATATGTAAAACAGAAATGGAGTATTTTTAAGCTTTTAGAAAAGATTAAAGGACAATGTTTAAATCTTCTCTAAAGTACAGTTTAACCTTGGTTTAACCCAGAACCTTGGAGAAATTGAAAGAATTTAGGTAATGTCGTTTTCAAAACCTACTGATAATAAAATGCCGCAGATATACATTTTTAATTGAATAATTACACGGAGCTCTTTAATGGCTATTTTTGATTTTTGATTTATGTGAAATAATATGGAACCATTGAAAAATTATCAAGACGACATTTTATAAATTCTTTTGATTTCTCCGAAGTCAGGTTAAACTGTATCATATTTAGTATTTAAATTTTGTTCCAGGAGAACGTCCGTTCCCCTGCAACTGGACAGGATGCATGAAAAGGTTTGCAAGATCTGATGAGTTGGCTCGTCATATCAGGACACATACCGGAGAAAAGAATTTTATCTGTCCTGTCTGTAACAAGAGGTTTATGCGCTCAGATCATCTTAGGTAATAAACATAGAGAGGAGATCTTTCAAACATTTTGCAAGATTTTGGGAAAAAATAAATTTCAAGAACTTTATTTGAATTTTGTTTTCTCCTCAAAAGTTTATGAAAAAAGTTTTCCGATATCAATTTAAAAATATAACTGCATACTTGATTAAGTTTTTAAAAATAGACATTTAAAAACATTTTGGGGTTACCGACAGATTTGAAGACGTTCTTAAAGAATTTATCAATATTTGATTTGATTTGATTTGATAAACACAACCACGTGGACATGCAATAACAACAAACCATGAATGCAAATAATAACATGGGAAAAATATGAACTGTCGTCTCTGAAGTCTTATTATTTGTGGGAAACATTTTGTATAAAGATGAGAATTATACAAAATTAAATGATTTTATTTAGTAAACACACAAAGAGACATCCATACTTTGAACCTGAATTATCGATGCGGATCTTGGAGCAGTCGGAGCAGAGCGGAGGGTTGCGGGAGGAGAAGAGGATGGATGAGGGGAGAGGAATGAACGAGGATGGAATAAGGAGAAGAGAAGATCAATATCAGATAAAAGAGGAGAACTCAGCAGGAGTTCCTCTCATGGTGGTAGACACCTCAGGAACAACAGGGGTGGTGGTCAGATACTTTCCCGGGGGGGATATATCGACCTACAGGGGAAATTCAGGGAACTGCAGGGGGGAATCAGGGACATACAGAGAGAGAGAACAAGGTGATCAGGGGTCACACAGTACAGGGGTAAATACAGACACTAGTGATGGATTACCCTCACCCTAGTAACCTGGTAATAGAACCAGTTCTATGAACTCTTGGTAAAAGAACAAGTTCTAGAAACTCCTAGTAATAGAACCAGTTCTAGGAACTCCTGGTAATAAAACCAGTTCTATAAACTCCTGGTAATAGAACCAGTTCTAGAACAAGAAACCTACGATCATAGAATTGAAAAAATCTGTGGATCTAAATTTGTTTTATGTAAAAAATTTCAATGAAATATCTAAATTTTAAACTATTCTCCTATTCTAGTCAGAAAAAAAACTTTTTGCAACAGAAATTTTAAACAGAAAACAAGTTTAAATGTCGTCGAGACAAAAGAAAGGTTTAAGTTTAAACTTTTTAAAGATTATTTGTAACGCTGGTTGATCTTTTAATTACTGAACTAAGTCTGAATTAACAACTTAACACTGAAGTGAAAGTTTCATTAATTAGGTTTTTACAAGTTATTAACCCTATCTCTGCTGGGGTACTTGAAAACCAGGATATGCTGGGGAAGGGTCAGTTTGACCCCCCCCCCCTCTAAATCCCATGTTTGATGTCCAAATATGACAAATGATACATCATTAGAAAGCTCTTGTACTCTACTTTTAGAATCTGCAAAAAAATTAGCAAATTTGCAAAAATTGAATTTATTATCGCAAAATCCAGTTATATAGTAAAAATGTTTGCAAAAAAAATTTGTCCAAAAAATGAAAAATTATACATTTTTGAAAAGCCCTTGACCATGCCATTTCAAATATGCAAACAATTTTGCAAAATTTTAAATAACCTGATTTTTAATCAAGAAAAACTAAAAATGTGCAAATTTCCTTTGACAGGTTGTTTGCAAAAAATTTGCAATTTTTTTCGCAAAACTTGTGCAATTCATTTCCTTATGTCATAGGCTTTCCAAAAAGCTAAATTTTATCAAAATGTGACAAGTGGAAGTGGGTCAAAACAAAGATTTAGTTTGTTACAGGAAAAAGCAGTCATTCAGGCAGTGTGCCTGAGGACTCAGGCAGTTAGTATTAAAGCCCTGTTTTAGGCCTAAAGGGAGGGCTTTGGGTATGTAGGAAAAGTCAGAAAATTTCAACAGCCTCAGACCAATACTTTTTGAGTTATGTAAAAAAACTACAGAGGGGGGTTAAATTGACCCTCCCCAGCAGGAATAGGGTTAACATAAAAAGAAATAACTTTTGAGTTGCTTTATCCCAAAAACTACTTTTTATCATTGGCGTAAATGTAAACTTTTTTAATTTTTTCAAAAAGTTTTATTTTAGTTGAATTATTATCCCCAAAAACCCTAAAAGACAATATTATTTTTAAAACATGTCATGATTTAAAATCAAATATTAATTCTAAAATAATGTTTTATGACCTAATATGTGCTTGCAATACCTTTTCTAATATTGTTACCATAAATAACTACGTTGAGGCTCATGAAACTGTGGATTAGGAAGACTCAAGTTATGTTTGTAAATAGTTCAATGTAAACAAAACACAGCAATTAGTTGATTTTTAAGTACACATAATTTTACTGAAATGTCGTCTTACTAATATCAAATTTATGGGTCCAACTTTAGTATGTACAGCCCACTATTTCCCTTGTACCGTACTTTAGCATGGAAATGTTATGTACCAGATAAACTGTTCAAAATCTCGAGTTCTTTCATCAAATATAAATAATTATTAAACTTGTCATATTATTTTTGAATAATATCCAACCCTGTTTATGCAAAAAAAACTGCTCTATCATCTGAAAGATGAAATACTTATCAGTATAAAACTAAATACTAGTCAAATCTCAATATATAATCCTGAAAATTCATCTGCACATGATATAAAAAGATGGCTTGCTGAGTAAGTGCATTCCTTTGACTTTTTATTTCTAGAAAAAAAGGTCTAAATCTTCTGGATATAGTAGAAGAAAGCAAATTTTCAGAACCTATATTTTTGTTCAACGTTAAACATTTAAGTTATTGAGAAGCCTTGAATATTTGTAAATTACACTAAAATCAGTTGCAGTCGAGTCTTAATAGTTTCTCATTTGAAAATTTGTAATTTTTTGCCTCTTTCTATTATGTGAGAATGAAAAATGTTAGAGTGTGGTAATGAGGAATACTTTTTTAGGAAAACAGCATTTTAAGAAAACAATCATGGCTTAATTTTGAAATCATACAGTGAGACCCACAAATTGTGGAAAACGAAGAAGACACATAAGCAAGCTATGTGTATTTAACGTTATATAAAACAACTAGTCTTACAAGTTTCTGCAAATCAATTCTTTTTAAACAAGTCTAACAGTCGTCTTACTACTCGACAGTTTTATGGGTCCAACTGTATATAAAGATATAATCTAAGTTTGTTTGCCAAAAGTTCAGAAACGAGCAATGAAAGATAATAGAAGCAGATAGGATTTTATGCAGTTTTGTTAATACTGGGAGAAGCTGAAAAGTCTATCCATCTATAATTACGCTAATACAAATTTTTCATAGAAAAAAGTGGATATAATCTACGGATATAACGTGACAGCCATTGTATAAGTTTCAGTCATCATTTTCAGGTTCATGGTTAATAAGTTAAAATTTGTAAGTTTTGGAGAAAATTGTAATTATAATTTCAATTTATGGGGTTGAGTTAAAAATTTTTAGTTAGGGGCGAAAGATTAACATGAATATAACCCTAATATCTAAATATGGGGTGGATACTAATATTTTTAATAATTTAAACTCATTCAAAAGTCTATAGTTGTTGGCAAATTCGATTACAGTATTCAATGCAAATTAATGGTCTGAGTTAACATGAATATAATAATAATAATATATATTATATATATAAATATGTGTTTGGAACTTTAAACCAAATAAATAATCCCTTCCTGTTGGCAAATTGGATTAAAAATGTTTCTTAAGTTATTCTAACTGAATCCCGGTGCCATAGATTAATAAAAATACAGAACACTAGATGTCGCCTTTTCAAGATTTAGGATTTTTTTTGTTCACAATAACCATGAGGCAGAAGCTCAAAGGGGTTCTGCGATTGGAGTGTTGAATAATAAAACAGAGAGAGAAAGCATACGCGTAACTCCTTTAGGCTTCTGCCTCAGGGTTATTGTGAACGAAACCCCCCAAAATCTTTAAAAGACGACATCTAGTGTTCTATCTGTTATTGTTAATTAATCTATGCTCCACGCAAACAAATGTTCTGAGTGCAGTTAGTTCTCATTAATTCCCTGCTTCTGAAAAGGTCAACATGTCGTGGAAAAATGTGGATCAAGTATATGCAATAAAACCACGATAATTACGGAATGTTGCCCTTGGAAACTAAGTACGAAGTGTTGAAAAATAGAAATAAGGTCTCATCTCATAAAACGTAATTTGACCTAAGTAAAAGTTTAGTTTCAAAAAACATGGATTTATTAAGAAGACATTTCCAAAAAAAAAAAATTTTGACCAAATTTTGGAAAACTTTTTTTTAAGAAAAAAAACTAAATTTAATAATAAAGTTTTAATATTGAATTCTTTACTGATATTCTCTTTCAAATTGTAGTTTTATACGCCATATACTCATTTCAGTAGTTTGAAACTAAAACTAATAATCTGAGTTAAAAATGTGTTTTCAATCAACCAAAGTTCACTATTTTGATATTTTTACCTTTTAAACCATATTTCGTTTCCTTAAAAGTCAAGCACAAAAAGAAATCATTCTAAGTTCACTAATTGGATATTTTCACCTTTTAAACCATATTTCGTTTCCTTAAAAGTTAATGAATGATCAAAATTCTTATTCAAGATATTGTTGAATCAAAACAAAAATAAAAAAATTCTCAACATTCTTATTCTCCCCTCTTCAATAATCTGAAGTGTAAATTAAAAACTGGAGGAGTTATGAGGTTACAAAGTTTTATAAAATAAATGTCTGTTTGATTAAGAGGTGGTTACTTTTTCTTGGGCATTCTTTAATTCTCAAATTAAAATTTCTCAATTTAAAATTTCTCAATTTAAAATTTTTCAATTTGAAATTTCTCATTTTGAAATTTCTCAATTTGAAATTTCTCAATTTGAAATTTCTCAATTTGAAATTTCTAAATCTGGAATTTCTCAAAATGAAAGGTTTGCGGAAAGAAATTGTTAAAGTAATTATAAGCGATCCTCCAACTAAATAGGGGTATGCCTGGTTCACTCTAGGTACCATCTAAACTTTCGGCCTAGGAAAAATGATTAAGATAAACTGGTTTTTCTTTCTAAAAATTCATGATATACCATCTTGGTTTCACCGTACAGAAAAGACAACAAAAAGAAATTGTCATAATTCAAAACGATTTTCCAGAAACGGCAATATACTTCTTCCTTAATGTTGCTCAGATAAGAGTTTAAAAGGTACCGTTGTGAATCAGGCAAGCAACTCTTTTAAATTGGGGCTCACTTGAAATTACGTTGACAGTCCCTTTAATACAATATTATTATAGATTATCTTGTACAGTCCCTTTAATACAATATTATTATAGATTATCTTGTACAGTCCCTTTATACAATATTATTATAGATCTCCCTGTACAGTCCCTTTAATCCAATATTATTATAGATCACCCTGTACAGTCCCATTAATCCAATATTATTGTAGATCACCCTGTACAGTCCCTTTAATCCCATATTATTATAGATCACCCTGTACATGCAGTGGATTGGTTTGCGTAAATTTTGACAGCTCAGGGTTAGAGTTGACTCCGGGTAGAGCTATAGAGGATGATATAGAAACCTGGAGAAACTTCATGAGTTCCTGGAACCTGGTGGATTGCTGGTTAATATTACGGGGAATTGTAAACTAACATGACTGTTCATGAATTCCGTCCCAGCAAACGGAATTTTATTATTTAACAGATTTACAATTTTTTATAGTAATATAGTTCCCTTTTTTACAATAATACATTTTCTATGGTTTTAATCTTTTTAGTCTTTTAGTTTATAGAATGTTATAGAAATGAGAATATAAAGACCAAATAAAAGTATTATTATTATATCTAAGGGAGTCTACAGTGACACATATGTATTGTACCGTTATATGTACGAAATAAATCTATAATAATAATAGGGATGGGCATTTTTATAGGGAAAAAGTTTTGTTTTAAAAAAAAATAAACGACTTTTAAAGGATTTGAGTCTTTGCCACAAACTCAGATTTTCTAATCCCTATATCTTTGAAGGCTGGTAGATCAAATAGTCTAAGTTTGAAATATCTAAGGTTTGAACCATC